AAGTTGATGAAGTTTTAATGTGTTTTACATGTTTTCAGTAAAGTTAATTGCAACGCCCACCTGATGCTAAATTAATTTTAAGTACTCAGAAAACAAAAATCGTTATTTCATATTTATTCGGGCTTTTGTGTTCTATGTACGGTCGCAGCAAGTTTATTTTTATTTTTTAAGTGCAAACTATTCTAATAATATTAGGGCGGTCTGAGAACTTTTTCCATTAATTTGGAAATATGCATATATTATATTTCTTTTGTAAGACGAAAATTAAATTCTTATTTTCTTCCAAAGATGTTATAAATGTACGTACATTATTAGAATTTTCTTCGTTATTGTTTTCTTAAACATACATATCATAATACTGTTAAATTTTTTATTTTATTTTCCAATGAATTGTTTACAAAAAGAAATATTTAAATAAAATTACACTTACTTTTCAATAAGATAACATTTAGTATGTACAATTAGTCTTAAAACGTATTAGTGGTTTTTGAGAAATTATTTACCTCTAATCATAATCATTTTTTATTTATTTGTTTTCCGTTTAAAACTAAAACTTGATCTTTAACGTTATTTTTTCCCATCAGTGTTTATTTTAGTTCGATGTTATTTTGTACCATCTGTTAAGAAAACTTCAATATCGCGTAATATTTCAACTACTGAAATAATTTTCATAATAATTTTCACCATATTCTTGAAACCCAGCTGTGAGTTATTAAAAAAAACAAATTAACTCGAGGCGATAGCTTAAAAGATTTAATTGACATATTTTGTCCTTCTRTCAATAATTGTAATTATAACTCAAAATTTTTGAATGGTTATATTTGTTGAACTAAATAAATAAAAGTTAAATTGTACTCTATTCAATCAGTATCWCACAATCGTATCGATTCTACGATGCCCTTTGCTTCGATCGGCGTACAGTGAAAAATTGTGAAATAATTTGTGCTCAATCTTTAATCACTTTATTCCGGGTCGGTCACAACTTCACAAGAACGAAAGAATGAATAAATKATCCAAAACATTAATATATTTTAATATCACACTTATCTTTATGTTGATTTCGAAGGATTGTTGGGAAACAATTGGGCACACATTTTCTGTGCTGAAAGTTTATTACGGCGYGTGAGAAAAGTTTTCAAATGAGTAAAATGTTGTCATCAGCTGTTGGATTTTTTCCCGCATAGCAATAAGGTCGTACACAGTTGTTGTGCTGTACACAAAAACGTATCTGTTGTAACCCGTGGACAAGTTTTGTGGTACCTACTGTTGGCAGCAGCAGCATCCTTCATCATATTTTGTCGTTCACAATATTCGGTGTCATTAAAATTTTTTTTCAATCACGACAAAAAATAAATATGGATATTCAACCCATGGCATTTGAATAAATTGAATTACATATTATCAGTAATATATAAGGAACTAAATCTGAATTTTTAACCATTTCAACAAATACATAAAAATTATAATTTTCAATCAAAAATCAACTTATAGTTAAATTATATTATATTTAATAAATTGTGTTTTTTAAATGAACCGTTCGTGACCGAGTGCGTTAATAATAATGGTCTGTACTTTGACATAGAGTTTTTCATGCTTATTTCCATCTTCAGCGTAATATAATAGAAATATATTATTAATATTATGTATTGACCACCGTTAAAAAAGGCCAGATAAAACTTTTGAACTTGAAAAATTTGTTCATCCACTAACAGTATACATTTATAAAGCTGAAAATAGTTTTTAGTTTTTTTATGTTTTTTTTCGTAYCTACATCTGGATGATGACTTATCTTATTTTATATACTTTACCGAGTGTACCTACATAACTTTTAATGGGGACGCGTAAGCACTATCGTTTATCGTAATGGTCTATTTATAATATTGGTAACTCACACAGTAGATACCTTATCACTTATAATAATATATTTCTAACTGCAAAACTTTAATGAGTGTGTCTGATGCTCAAAAAATCTATAATCGATGGAAGACCAAGACTAAGTCATAATATCATGCAATAACACGTGGTGGCCAATCCACTATAGAAGTCTCAGATGATTTCAATTGGAAATGATATTTATCATGTACAAAGGATGAAACCACGTGAGAAAATATTGTGTWGTAATCTATTTATACTATCACCGATGTATCCAATGCTAATTGAATGTGTTGTGATTAGCTTGTTCTGATTGAGTTCCTTACTTCTAATCATCATTTACATAGGTAGTGAGATGAATGTGAAGAAGCTATATATTATTCTATTGTAGCTCGTCATGTTTTGGATATACAATATAAATTCTAAAAATGCAATTAGAAAACAATTTATAGAAGAAGAGGGGGCTTAACAAAATTTTAGAGGCAGGGCTATTGCCTCATTAAACTCTCCAATATTAACTCTCCAATCTACAACTATGGTTAGCGCTATCATGTTTCGTAATGACATATTTACAACAATATTGTAACTCACAGATTATCCAATTGCTCATAATAATAATTTGTCCACTTGTACAACTAATGTCCACTTGTTCAAAGCTCAAAAGGTCGGTTATCGATGAAAGACTAATACTAACTCTTAATGATAAGCCGTAAAACGTGGTTGACGATCTACGTTTRAACGGTTTTACGATTTCAATTTGAAAATAATTATCTTGAATAAAAAATGAAATTACTTTGTCTAAAAATACAAATATTGTATTATTATTAGTWATACATTTATTGTTTATTGTTTGTTTGTTTATTACGGAAATAAATTCCAATTACATTTTAAATAAATATGTAAGAGTTAAAATATATAAGTTACATTAGTAGCTACTTTGGGGAAAAAGAAGAGAGAAAAAAAATTTGTGTCCATGTAACGGACCTTAATCGACTCTCCAGTATGGTTGAGTTAGCGAGTTGTCTATCCAGCCCACTCAACCCAGTCATGTGAAAAGCACAATATTGGGCAATGACACAGTTCGGAGTATGTTATCTCACGAGACCATGAACCATGGGCAAGATCGTGATATCAAAGTGCACACGTCGGTTATGTTCAGGCGCATGTATGGAGTATTGAATTCAAAATGAATTTATGAAGACAAAACATATTGTTAAGAATACTGACAACTGCAATAATGGACAACTAAACAACGGATGATAAGTTGGTGGGATTTTTTATTAGAAATCTCCTGCACGCCAATAAATTTTAAAATACACCAATTGCTGATAAAGTACTTAAAAAGTTTATACGTTTTCTAGTATTAAAAATTAAATGAATAATATATTTGAGTTAACTGTTTTTTTTTGTCTTTAAGTCTCTATTCTCGATTTTGAAATTCTTTTAAAATGAAATACAACATTTTCCATTTTTTTTTTAAACATATGGAACTATATATTATATGTTCTGATTTAACGATCTAAAATCAGTTAAATTTACTGACCAGTAGTCTTACTAGGCGATGAGAAATATCTTGACAAATAATTAATTTATACAGGTTCTAAGATTATGTATGATATTAAGTTACATGTTTAATGACTAATGCGTGTTATATGATATCTATGGTGTTCTATTGAAATGTATAGATCTTAATGACTAGAAAATTATTAATCATGTAAGTGCATCCACTCATTTTACATTTTCATTAATATGTAGTCTTTTACGTGTTAATAAATCACAATAATTCAGTAATGGCGTTGTATTGGTTGTCCTGATTACTAACACCTCAATATGAAATTGATTTATTATGCAATTTCAATTTATTATAGTAATTTCAGAAGTGATGAGCATTTTTATCTAAGATATTATTTTCTATTCTAATTTAGGAACTGTTATACGAGAAAATACTATAGTTATATATTAATTATTATATTGTGTTTATAATCTCGCTTTATTTGATGTGAAATAATAATTAAAAATTTTTTTTTTTACTTAAACAATAAGTTACATTCTAAAATTAATAACTTTATTGCACATAATAATGCAACTATCAAGAAAAATATTGATCTTCGCCGGGTATATTTAGTTTTCTTTATGAATTCTAGAGGTTAGATTAATTTTTATCGTTATTAAAGTAAATAAATCGTCCATTAGGTGATGCWTTTGGCATTTCATTTTTGATGTTTATTATAGTTAATATAATATATTAAAATAAATATAATCCATGGTCCCATGCATAAAGATAATAATACACATATTAAGTTTTATAAAAGCGTGCTAGTGCGAGTGGAAAGGATGAATTCTTCCGATCGATCCACAAACCGTAAATTTCGTGATTGTATTATATTGTTATCACCCCTGTCAACGTGTTACAATAATAAATTCCTATGGTCGGGTGCCATACGCTGACACATGCACACATAAATGATGCATACAAATACATATACATTCACACAAACGTATATAATAAACATATAAATATATATTCATAGCGTGTACATCGAGTTAATGACCATCTATTGTTTGAACGAAATAGTGCAAATAGTGTTCCATGTTATTTGAATCCACGAATAAACGATATTTTGTTTATTCGCCAAGCGTTTATCTATCATCAGTAATAATTTTATGACCTTTCCTCTGGACTCAGCTACTATCAATTTCTCACATCGTTCACTAYACAAACCKACCTCTTTTTTGTAATAGACAGTTTCATTTGAAGCTATGGTGTTTATCTGAAATAATGAAGATTAAATCAATAAAGTTCGTTCATCCTTATTACAACTATATTGCGTTTTKCTCTAATTTAATTTGTATAAATTTACAAATTTGAAAATAATTYACTAGTTTGCTACGAACAAAATAGTCATGTTTTTTAGGCATTTATTAAATAAATGATRCGGTAAAGAACGCCGTAATGGGGAAACCTAATTCCCCCTTGTTTCGCGATGTAACCAGGAAAAAAAAAGATTATAYTGTCGGGGGTATATTGTCATATTAAAAAAAAATTGTGTATATTCATAAAATACTTTTCATTAACTATGTTTACAGTAATTATTACAGTCATTGTTTAAAATATTTTATATTTTTAGTTTCAGTTTTTGGATTAGTCAATGGTGATTCATCACCGGGGCCCGTATATGTCAATCCAGATTTAATTTACGAAAAACCAGAACCTGTCGCTTCACAGGTAGTTTCACCAGATTCTCAAATCACTCAAACAGTATATGGATTTCTGGACTTCACTACAACAATTGGTAACACTGTTATGGTTTTCATGCCACAAAGTGCATCTACTTCACCAGGTGAATACTAAGCTATATATAAAAAAAAAAATGTAAATAATGATTATTGTATGTAAATAATATAAATAATGTTTATCAGGTACTACTACAACCGAAGAATCATTGACTACAGAAGGTATGACCACCACTATTGAAGAAAAGCCTATTACAAAGGAACAGCTGGAAACAGAGTCCATTGGAATTACTCCCAGTAAGCCAGTGAACCTACCAATTGATTCAAAAAATGAAGAAATAGTTATGACATCAAATGAGCCTAAAACCACCGCTGAAATAACTACCAAAGAACCGACGACCACTACTACAAAAGAACCACCAACTACGAAAAACGTGGTGAAAAAATCGGAACAAGAAAAAAAATCAACAGGAGCACCAGTGACGACAAAAAAAACAAATGCTAAACCGACAACGCCATCGCCTCTAAAACCAAAACTAGTTGGAAACGTAAATAAAGAACCAATGGTAAGCTCAAAGGTTATAGTTATGGCGGGTTCTAAAGTTTTAGAAAATATTCAAACCAAAGTAGAAGTCATTGAAGGAAGTACACCAGAACCATCAAAAGTGGTGGAAAAGGCGATTTACAGTAAAGTAGAAGTTATTTCTGGTGAACCAGTTGAAGAAGTGGCAGTGAACCATTTACAACCAACACCAGAATATGATTTTCTTTCACGACAACCTTCAGAAGTTGTGGACGAGACATTCAAAGTAATTGATTTGAAGCCTAGTCTATCCAGACACGTCCTCGTTCAGAAAAGTCGAGGGCCTGATGGAAAACTTAGAGCATTCAACTCAATAGCAAATTTCAACGTAGAAGAAGAACCTACGACAAATAAAGCACCGAAAAAAGTAGCTGTAAAAATATCCCCATCAGCTTCTGGTGTTCGAATTCTGAAAACAGCAGCACCGAAGCCCTCCTCCAGATCACCAAATGTTGAACCTACACCAGCTGCATCTGGATTGGACGACGAATCTCTAGAGTCGTTAGTGGGCTCACAACCAGGCTCGGTCTTGGTTCGACAATCCAGGAGGCCGGCTATTGGTGGAGGTTTTAATAAAAACAAGTACACGCCTACGCCAAAAAGTAAATCAAAAGAATTTGAAGATTATTCGACTACCGATGAAGAACAAAATGAATTCACCTCTGTTCAAAATGAACCTACAACTCCAAGTTATAGAAAAGGATCTAAATTCACCTCAAAAATAACTACTACAACACAGAGAGTTCCCAGCTTTAAACAAAACCGATTTAACAGACCAACCACCGCTGAACCAGAAGTGGAGTTGACTGAAGGATCAGCTACTCAAAGAAGGTTCCAGCCTAGTTCCAAGCGTTATGACAGTAACACCAATGCAGCGGTAGTGACACCAGCTAACCGTCGGGCTTTCAAAAAACACTTTCAACAACAAGAACAATCACCTCAGTCCAGCCCACAACCTATTCCGACAGCTCCATTGACGTTCAAATCTAAACTAATCCGACCAACTGGACGTTGGGAGTACAAGACATCTCCCAAACCTCGTGTAACCATTCGTCGTATCGATGAAAACCGACATGGACAGGAAAATGCTACCACACCACTGACACCACATTTCCCCGATGTACAAGTTGACAACGGAGACCAAGCGTTGGCTGGTTCAGGTTTATTACCAGCCTTACAACATGATGATGACAACGACGTTCTCGTTCAAGACGTAAGTCCGACTGCAAATGCTGAGACAATCCGGGTAGAAATCTCTACTCCAGCTGAATTCAAAGACATATACTACGAAATTGCCACGATCAAATCACCGTACTCATTCCAAGTAAAATATATAAATAATTTTATTTCATGAAATATTATGCCATTTTTTTGACATAATTTTATTTTTTATGTTTAACTAACCTACCAAGGTAAACTTATTTTTACAAATTATCATATTACAGAGAACGAGATATATTGATTTGAAATATGAATATAGGAATAAAAAGTAGATTTACATTAAAAATAGATACCCAGTAATGAGTGGACACTGGACATAGTATCTCCAAGATAAAAKTGTTTCTTAAATATTTTATTTCAACATTTTAAAGCAGGAAGTTAAGGCATTTTTTTCGAAAATTACAACAGAATCGATACAATGTGGCTTAAATTTATATGTCAAAATWACTTATTAAAACTTAGAAACTTAGTAAACGACAAAATTAACACTTTTATTTAAATTTTAAACAAAACAATTTAAAAAATAATTATAATATTAATAAATGTAAAAAAAATTATGTAATTATAATACTTAAAATATAATTTATTTTCATAAATTTATATCAACATTTTATTGAGTTACAAAAATACGCCAAAATTTWCTATCTGTTAAAGATAAAACCACTAAAGGTTAGAAATTAAAAATGTGTTTACCAAAATTGACCACATGAGTAAATAATAATGAATTTTTAATAATATCATAATATAATTTTACGCAGTCGTTTTAATGCTTATGATATTCCATTTTCTCGCAGGTGGGTTCAGTGAAGAATACCAGGTTCATAACCGTCACGTCAACAATCCAAAAGAGTCTGGTGGAGCAGACCGACAGTCCATCGCCAGCCAGAGTGGAACCACTGTCTGAGAATATACTGGCCAGCCAGGCACCCAACTTGTACGGCCGTGAGCAGCCACTCGATTCCAGCCTGGCCACTCTGCCACCGATCTCCTTGTCTCCGGACCAGGCCACACCACCGCTGGAAACTATGACCGAGAGCTTCAGCACCACCGAGCTAATGCTCAAAACACATATCTTGCCAGTGGTCCGCGGAACAGACACCAGCAGTGTGACGCTGGTCCAGTCATACAAGGTGACCAGACTGGTGACCGCGGTCAAGACGCTGCCGCCGATGGAGGTTTACCAGTTCGTGCCCAGCAAGACACTTAACGAGTTCAACACCAGGCTGGACGAGGCCGGGTCAGAGCTGCACCTGGAACTCGAGTATGGGGACAACGGCAACCACGACGATGAGCACCCGAGTGCAGCCAAGGCGTTCCTGGACAGCCTGGACCTATCCAACGTGGGATCTTCGTTTGATCTGTCACAAATGGACAAAGCCAATGGTCCACGATCAAAGAAAGCTCACCGAATGGCGTCGGCGTCAGGCAATTCATCTTCCACCGAACACCCATCAAATCAATACCAACAGCAGCAGCAGCAGCAGCAAGCGCCCACCATGAGCCCCGAACAGCTCCAGCAGTTGGCCCTGTACCGGTTACTGAACCCGAATGCACCGATACCAGCTCCGGTTATAACCACCTCCCGACCGGTGTTGCGGTACGAGACCGTGTTCGAGACACACGCTCTGCCCGTGGTAAACGGCGGCACCACGTACTATACTACCTTGTCTCGACCCGTGGGTACGGTGACCAGAACCGATTATGAGATGGTCACCACCACGTTGGCCATACCGCAACCTCAATCACTACCATTCCAACCACCACAGCTCCARCCCACTCCGTTGTTCCAGTTCCAGCAGACTCCCTTGTTCCCGCCACAGCTTCAGCAACAGCAACAGCAACAGTTTCCAGTTCAACCTACGCTTTTCCCCGCCCAGCCATCGTTCGCCATCACTTCTACGCCCGTTATCACCCAATCGATGGTCACGCAGACCGACAGCAAGGTGTTGAAGCTAACATTTGGTGCGAAGACCGCCTACACTACTATCTACTCCAGCTCGGTAGTGCCCACCCAGGTTACGTCATACGTGACCCAGTCTGTGGCCGTCCAACCAACCGTCGCCCAGTTCCCCAACTTCATACCGTACGGTGGTTACCCATTCTTGGGTTAGATATCACTCCACCGTCACCTACGTGCCATTGTATATTATTACCCGAAGAGCAGCGACCGGACATCCGAATGATGGCCACCAATCGTCGTGACTTGTACATAACTACATTATTATTATTTTTTTCGTTTCCAAAAATCGCTCAAATGTCGTGAAATCGTCTGGTGGGAGCATTAATTAATATTATTATTATTATGCGTATCGCGTTGTACATAATATTTTTATTATATTATTATACTTTTATTCACCCTTCTAATCTATTATAAATATAACGGTTGGAAGACGCAACCTACTCTTGATACACGCAATAATATTATGACGTGTATAAATATTGTTTGGTTTCGTCTGACATCTTGTTACGATTGTTTATATTTCTTTTATTTTTCGACTATTTTACATATCGTCGGAACCTTGTTTGTAATACCATTTGCGCGACTGACACTGTAGTGAAAGAAAAATAGAAAAATAATAGAAAATGAACTGTAATCGTTGCACTTTCGACGATCACCTACAGTAGATTTCCGATCCCGTCGTTGAATTGTGTAGGGTCCCATGAAAAAAAATAAATATAAAACGAAACAAAACTATTTTCATCAAACATCCGGTTTAAACAATATTTGTTAAAGGAATAAAATTATGAATGAATTTGTACAAGAATGAGACAAATCTAAAAACCTGTAGGTAGGTATAGGAAATATGACATACCTTGAAAATTTCTTGTTTTTTGATTTTTTGTTGAAAACCCTGATAACTCTGAGATAATATTACAATTAATGAAACCTGAGTTTTGGTCAGAACACAAGATAGCTCCATAAATTAAAATTGKCATCGACCCTTTTGAATATTATATCATCGCACGCGTTTCTTTCACCTCATCGATGATTACCTCCAGTGAGTTTTTGCGCATTTGGTATAGGTTAAGCTAACCCTGCGTGAGCTGAATCTCATAATATTATATTCAAGTGCTACGTATATATTATATAACAATAACAAACAAAAAAGTCTACGATTATTAGCACTATTATTACAGTTCGTCATAAACGGTTTCCACCGTATTCTTGTGCGCATGGTTGTGTCTATACACTAGCTGGTTCATTTATCACCCTACTGAAATAAAACTTTGAAAGTCAGCCAAAAGTTTGTGGTGTATCTTTTCTCCCTCTGCTTCATTCACTTTGCTCCTGGCCCTCACCGTTTTTTGTCTGGGTGTTAAATAACAAATCCGGATGCCGGTTATGATTAATCGCTTTTTCCTGATAGAAAATAATTTCCGAAAAGAGAGGACGGTGCCAAATACAAAGAGGTCAAAAAAACAATTTTGATTAGGATTAGACTATTATTATTATTATCATTACTATAGAACATAGTGAAATTATGTTTTAATCATAAATTAAATTTTAGTGTAATTATGTTTATAATATTATAATGTATTATTGTATTATTATGTTTATTTTTATACTATAATGTGTAACTAATGTTTTTTTTTTATGTATAAGATAAATATTATTTAGTAATAAAATATGTGTACAGTTTAATCGAAAATATGTAATTATAATAATATTATTGTTCTTATATAGTTTGTCACTCAATTACTGCGTACCTGAAAAAATATCAATCTCAATATTGCAAATCGCAAACACTTTAACTCGCTTTCTAAGTAGTAGGCAGGTATAATATCGATAGCAAACTTTATTCGTTTTTTTTTTTTTTAGTTGATTTTAGCGTATCGTAACGTTAAGTTACTTATTCGTATGATTTGCAATAATATGACGTGTA